AATGTGGATCAAATGGATTAAATTTATTAGTAATTATGAAGGTTAATTTAAAGAATCAATCCTTTGAAAATATTAGGATCAATAATACATCTTTAATTGGAGGTAATTTTGTAAGGTGTATTTTGAGTGGATCAGAATTTGATAATATAGATCCTAGTGGAGTGAATTTAAGTGGAGCTTAACTATTTAACTGTAAATGGACGAATATTAAAATAAATGAACTGAACTAAATTGTAGGTCATAGTGAATGTGTGAACTCTGTATGTTTTTCTCCTGATGGAACTACAATAGGATCTGGTAGTGATGATAACTCTATCCGTTTATGGGATGTTAAAACAGGATAATAAAAAGCCCAATTAAATGGTCACACTAGCTATGTATACTCAGTTAGTTTCTCTCCTGATGGTACTACATTGGCATCAAGTAGTGCAGATTACTCGATACGTTTGTGGGATGTTAAGGCAAGATAACAAAAAGCTAAATTGGAGGGTCATAGAGATTATGTCAGATAAATATGTTTCTCTTCGGATGGTTTAACATTAGCATCTGGGAGTGCAGATTGCTCTATCATTTTATGGGACATTAAGACAGGTTAATAAAAAACCTAATTGAATGGACATTAAAAATGGGTGCGTACAATATCCTTCTCTCCAGATGGTAGTACCTTGGCATCTGGGAGTGATGATAAGACTATCCGTTTGTGGGCTCTTAAGATAGGATAATAAAAAATAAAATTAGATGGCCATAGTGATTCCGTAAGATCGGTTTGCTTTTCTCCTGATGGAATTACATTAGCATCTGGAAGTACAGATAAGTCTATTAGGTTATGGGATTTGAAGACAGGAAATCAAAAAACTAAATTGGATGGTCATACAAGTAATGTCTAATCAGTATGCTTTTCTCCTGATGGCACTACATTAGCATCATGTAGTGATGATAAATCTATCCGTCTATGGGATGTTAAGATAGGATAGTAAACCATCAAATTCAATGGTCATAGTGATGGAGTAAACTCAATATGCTTCTCTTATGATGGTATTATATTAGCATCTAGTAGTTATGATAAGACTATCCGTTTGTGGGATGTTAAGGCAGGATAATAAAAAACCAAATTAGATGGCCATAGTGATACTGTTAGATCAATATGTATCTCTCCTGATGGTACTACTTTAGCATCTGGAAGTAAAGATATGTCTATCCTTTTATGGGATGCAAAGACAGGATAATAAATATTTAGATTTGTTGGTCATACTAGTTTTGTCTATTCAGTATGCTTCTCTCCAGATGGTTCTACATTAGCATCTGGTAGTTGGGATAAGTCTGTTCGTTTATGGCATGTTAAGACAGGATAATAAATAGCTAAATTAGATGGTCATAGTAATTTGATTTTATCAGTATGCTTCTCTCCAGATGGTTCTACATTAGCCTCTGGTAGTTGGGATAAGTCTATCTTTTTATGGGATGTTAAAACAGGTTAACAAAAAGCCAAATTGAATGGTCATAGTGATTATATTAATTCAGTCTGCTTTTCTCCTGATGGTGCCATTTTGGCATCTGGTAGTGTGGATAAATCCATCTGTTTATGGGAGGTTAAAACTGGATAATAAAAAGCCAAATTGAATGGTCATAAAGATTGTATTAATTCAATCTGCTTCTCTCCTGATGGTACTACTTTGGCATCTGGTAGTGGTGAATATGAAATTAAAGATAACTCCATTCTTTTATGGGATGTCAAGACAAAGAAACGAATAGCTTAATTAAAAGTTCATACTGGAGTTGTCAAGCAAGTCTGTTTCTCACCTAACGGTAAAATCTTAGCATCTGGTAGTTATGATAAGTCGATCTGTATATGGGATGTTAAAGTAGGAAAATAAAAAGCCAAATTAAATGGTCATATTTCTAGAGTAAGATCAGTCTGTTTTTCCCCTGATGGTACCATATTAGCGTCTGGTAGTGAGGATAAATCTATTCTGTTATGGGATGTTTAAACTGGATAATAAAAACTTAAATTAAAGGGTCATACAGGCTTTATATTATCGGTTTGTTTCTCTCCTGATGGTACAACTTTAGCATCTGGTAGTAGAGATCGGTCTATCCGTTTATGGGATATTAAAATAGGATAGTAAAAAGCCAAATTGGATGGTCATACTGAGGATGTAAAGTAAGTCTGTTTCTCACCTGATGGCACTATCTTAGCATCTTGTGGGGGAGGTGGATAATTTTATTGTGCAGATTGTTCTATTCGTTTATGGTTTGTAAATACAGGATAATAAAAAGCTAGTTAAGATGATCATAATGACTATGTAGGTTCAGTCTATTTATCTCCCAATGGTACTACATTGGCTTGTGATAGTAAAGATAATTCTATCACTTTATGGGATATTCAATCAGGTTAATAAATAGTCTAATTGGATAGTATTCGAGAAGATGTCAAATCGGTCTATTTCTCTCCTGATAGTACTACATTTATAATTGAAAGTTATAATGACTCTATCAATTAATGGGATGTTAAGACTGGGTAGTAAATTCAACCAATAGATTAACGTTACAAAGATAATTTATGTCAACTATTTTATACTAGTCATCTTGAAAGTAGTATTATCTCCAATATTACAATTCTTCGCATATCAAAATCATTACTATTTTAAGCTTAAAATTCGATTATATTAAAAGGAGAATTTATAAATTATTAAGGGAAAGATTTAAAATCATTAATTAAATCAAAAGGAGGCATTTTTTGTACACAAAAATAGAAGAATTTACCAG